ACTCAGTAGCTAAGTGGATAACGCGATGGCGTTTGAAGCGAACGGTACTGAGTTCGAGTCCCAGAGTGAACATCAACTCTGAGATCCAGGTACATCCAGCTGACGAGTCCCAGGCAGGACGAAACGCGCGTCCTGGATTCCACTGCTAGCCACTATCCATCTTTTCATTATGAAGAACTTTATTAATCACTAAGCAGTGAACACTTAATGTCAGCTTAATTTGTTGATTTTCTTTCAAAGTTAAAATAACATGCAACCGTTTAAAGTTCTTAACTAGTTGATACGCACTTTAAAGTAAAAATTAAAAAAAAGGAATACAAATCTAAAAGAAAATTTATGCAGAACAAAAGAAAGATAACACTGCGAAATAATAAGACACAATATGTAGTATCTACACGTATAAAATGATTTAGATCAATTTTGAGTTAATGTTTACAGTGTATAATCGATGTTTTAATCCATCCAACTTGATTTTTTAAGTAATATTTTTAAAAATTACCAATATCCTTACACATTTTATATCAGTCGATGATAATTATTAACCGCCAGTGTACTCTGTAGTTTTCAAAATACTTAAGTCAGTTAGTCAGCTACAACGTAGGACCAGGAATATTTATCCATCGGTCCAAGTTGCCATACCTTATTAACACAACAAGATGAACACCGGATTCATAGAAGTAGTTAATTAAGTGGTGGTAATATATAAAAAAAGATTGCATATAGAGAGATAGTACAGGAAGAAAGAATTAGTTCGTATAAGGAAAGATACAAAGCAATTTTAATCTCACGGTTTAAGGGAAGACAGAAATTGTATACACCGACGCCATTGTGATCGATTCTGAGCCATGTCACCAAGAGTCTCCAACCATTGGTTACGATAGTCACGTGGACCCCAACCAAGTAGTCTACATCTACCAACATGGCTCAGATTAGAAATTAGTGACTTTAAGCACTGCTGACACGTTTTCGTTTGGCCGCCCCTAACTTTCTCCCAACCATCCCTAACACCGGTTAGCATTGTGCGTCGTGGTAACTGGTGTTCAGGCATACGCAACACGTGGCCCAACCATCTCAGTCGATGAAGATTCACAACCTCATCAACTGATTTACCATCATCCCTAATACCTTGTGTCTAACTTCACTATTAATTACACGGTGATCCCAGCAGATGTGAGTAATATTTCTAAGGCATCTGTAATCAAATACTAGTAGCTTACGTGTATCTTCCACTCTTAATGGCCATGTTTCGCAGCCGTAAAGTATTTCGAATATATCTGATGATCAAATGCTCTTAATCCACAAATGTTTTCCATTTTTAAAGACTATATTTTACAGTCATAAAGTAGAACTGAACAAACAACTATGTAGTATACTTGGCTTTTGGCTGGTAGACAGATACAATATAAAAGCATTATTAGCTTTTAACTATCATATATCATATGAAGTTATATTTCTATTTCTTTATCCGAATACTGACTCCTTTTAATGATGATAATAAAATGAATATCACTTAACAATTCAATATTTTTTCTCCTTTCATTCTAACTTCAAACTTAATAGTTATAATAATAATAATAACATGACAACTATGATGTGTGATTACTTATGACCTAAATAGCTAATGTAACTTATATGTAATATATGTACGTTTGTCAATATACATGTAAACGTTGGCGATTAAAGAATTCCTTCACTTGATCATATGATTAAATAACTCATTTTCAATTTTCAAAAAAAACTTTTTTTTTCTATAATACTAATAATAACGTTTACATAGATACATATAATCATTTTTAAAATATTCTAGTCATTATAATCATAAATTACGTTTATTATGAACAATTTCTATATTTGATAATAGTAATTTGCCCCATATGAATAACAGTTTAGATACTCTCTAGCAAATCATACTCATAAAAGATATATACAAGTTCTTTTTATGTATTTAAAACGAGAAGAAAGCCATCAAACAGTTATGTTGTTAAAGAAAAAGAAGAATGCAATTCAGAGGAGAAAAGTTTGACGATTTCACTTATATCACCTATACTGCAGTGTGCGTTACTGATATCGACAAATGTAAGTAGTATGTTTCATTCATCGAATATGAAATACATGGCGGTACAAAGTTAAGAAGATCAAAAAGAAGAGAATGAGAACAGAAAGTAACTGGTAAAGAAACAAAGGTACAATCAAGTCTGAGACAATTGATTAACATTTTGGAAATGAAGTATTTACTGTATGGTGTACGGACTTTACTAAGTGATTTTGTAATTTTGTATTCGAATACAGTTACTTGTCCCCGTTTGTGTTTCTGTTCATTACAATACAATCGTATAATCTAGTCTACAGACTACAATTCTAGCAAATAAAATTCACTGTAAAAATATGATTGCACACCTAAAGTAAATGAAATAGTTGAAAAGAAAGTTTACTTCGCTAAATTACCAGCTTTCTTCTTCAATCAAACAATGAGTCAAATATGTTACATTTTTATGTTATCATTACCATGGAAAATCATTCTTTAATAAAAAATTATGAAATATACCAGTGGAGTTCAACCAGGTCTGTTGTGAGATAGTATCTCACTGAAGACAATGGTGTACGGTGGCGCAACTTCGTGGATTGGTTGAAGTTAGACATTAACACCGTTGAATGCCGGTCAGCTCAGTGGTCTAGTTGGTTAAGCGCCTGGCGCGAGACTGATGGGTCCTGGGTTCAAATCTCGCGGGGTGCGGGATCGTGGATGCGCACTGCTGAGGAATCCCATACTAGGATGAAACGGCCGTCCAGTGCTTACAGGTTTTCCATGGTGGTCTAGCTTCAATTGACTCATGATTTCAACCAGTGACATTTCTAAAATCTCCACAAAACCCATTCTGATACTATTTAATTATATAGATAAATTAATTTTGCGCCCGAATCCAAGACATGCTATCTTTAATTTCATTGGTTCGTCCAGATATTATCATCTTGCCATTTTATCCAGTGTATTTTATTTACAATTGAACATTGAAAAAATAAAACAATCTTTCAGTAAGATTATGAATATAATTTTAATTGAATTTCTTATCTTGACATTAGTTTTATTGAACTATTGGATAAAAGTGAGAAAACTGGTCATAGATATTTACTTCTATTAAAAATAATACACTTATGTACTTTCTAGTAGTCATATGATTTGTGAAACAAAACCAAGTCAGTTATAGTGACAAAATAAATCAATAGTTTTAAAATCGTTTAAGCTGTAATGTTGATGGTGGCGCAATTTCGTGGTTGAAGTTAGACATTAACACTATTGGTCTATAGGTTAAGAGTTCACGTGTGAGACCGGTAGGTCTTGGGTTCGAATCCCGTGAGCGAGGTCATGGGTGAGCACTGCTGATGAGTCACATATTATGACAAAACGGTTGTCCAGTACTTCTAGGTTTTCCATGATAGTCTAGCTTTAATTGACTTAAATAACTTAAAGTTAAGAAAAAAAGGTTATAATGTAGTCAAGCGAATGTTAAGTACTGAATCAATAAAGAATCATTTATTTATTGAACAAGAATACCATTAAACTTAAGTTACTATATAATATTATACTGAATTTAGTAAGATGAAATTCTGAAATATTGGTATATTAAAACTAAAATTTAAATGTACCACAATTATTATTCACAAATAATTTAAATAAGTTAAGTCTGTTAATTAATAAGTTATACATAGCAACTCATAAGCAAAGATGGATAGTGGCTGGCAGTGGAATCCAGAACACGCATGATATGCTTGTAAATTAAGGCAATACGCACAGTATGCACATATGCCAATAAGTGAATGATCAATTGCAGTCCTAAACATCAATGGGAAGATTTAAGTAAAACAATACCAAGTGAATATCAACTCATACATTCTTTTTCACTTTTGGTGTAGATAAATCATAATTTTCAGTTTACATCATTGACTTATTATCACAGAAAGTCAGATAGTACTTTTGATCGTACACATGGTCGAATCAATCACCTTCAGGTTTTGTGGAAAGCACACACGATCATTATGCTATTGAGTTGACATTTAAAAGTTTACATTTACAGCTTAATCTTATTAAATTTATGTATAATTTGGAATACAATTTAAACAATAACCATAAACCTCCTCATTTAGATAGTATGGAATAAAACTGTTAAAATTTAACTTTTCTACTAATCACAATGAGAGATAAAGAAATTTATTTCTCCGAATTCAAACAACAATCACTCAATTAGTAGGGATTCATAAATTCCCATTTGGATAATCGCCATTGTCGTATGTGCATTCTGAGTAGATTGTCTTAGTAAATTTTCCGATCAAAAGTGATCATATATTTAGTATATGGTTGGTTATATAAATGAGGAAACCTATTTCATTTTATTTAGGAGCTATACCCACATCTCAATGCTGATAACTAGTAACTTTCACTTCAGACACCAGCAAGTTATTAACACTGGTACATGATGGGCACACTCAATTGATAAATTCTGAATAGAACGAAACACCTGCTCTGGATTGTGTTGCTAGTCAAATACCAATCAGACTAAAAATCAATTATGGCATAAAACATACTGTATCCACATTATGGTTATTATCGGCCTCATTTTTAAAGTTTTATTTGAAGAGATTTTTTAAAAAAAAGTCTATTTCTTAAGGGACAGATAATTGTCTACAATACTTTTCTAGTATTGAATAAATTTCTTCCATTTAATCTCTTTTCATTACATAAACAAGAATTATCACATTTAAAAAACAATCTATCATTGTTTCAATTGAATGATCATAACAATAATTGATATATTTAGACATTTTCTGATAGGTTGAATGTTATTCAATAAATGTAGATAGATTAAACCTGTAAAAGAAATAAGTTCATTGAATAAGCAACTAATAGCTCGTTCGTTACTAATAGCAACAAACAACAAACAAAAACTTTAAACCCATTTCGAAATGACTTATATATATACGATTTCCTGTATATGTCTACTCACCTCTTCTTCATAATCGTCATCTTGTAAACTAATATCATTATCTAGTAATTTAGTTGCTTTTTTCAATTCTTTAGTTGGTAAATTATCTGGAGTTTTACGCCAAGATTGACGAAATTTTCGGTTGAATGGTTGATCAGTCGGTTGTTGTTGTTGCTGTTGTTGAGTACTTTCCAAAGACATCAATGTCGACGGTTGCTCCATTGATGGTTGTAGCGATGATGCTTGAGAAGATTGTTGTGCTTGTGATTGATGACGAAATGAAAACTCTGATTTGGTTGACTGTTCTAATTGTTGTTCTTGTTGTGAAAAATTTTGTTGGTATATAGGTGGCGATGTCTGTTGTGGTAATTGAGTTTGTTTTTGTTGTTGATGGCTTTGGTTATTATTAGGTTTTGAAAATTCTTGTAATGATTCATCATCATCATCATCTTCGTTATTAACATGTTTTTCATGGGAATTTGTAGAATTCATATAGCTTTGTGAGTTGAATAACTGATTCTGCATTTGTTTCTGTTGTTGTTGTTGTTGTTGAAAGGGTGTTTGTGTCAATGACTGCTGTTTTAATAATTGTTGTAATCTCTCCATATTTCACTGATCATATAATACTTTGCTTACTAGTTATAACCAACAAATTCCATGAATGTATTCTCTTTAATGATGCCAATAATAGTGAAATAATTTAAAATTGGTATGTGTACATTATTGTTATCATCTTTTATGGTGTAATGAATTGACAATTTTCATTATTAGTCAGATGTGTCTATAAATTAGTCTTGTTTTCTTTTTTTTAAATTTTTCTTAACAGTTAATTATGTATCTACTTACTTCACCTATTACTTGGATTGTATCCAACTAGATACCATTAATTAAATCAACTAGATAGATAGATAGACATATGGATAGTCAATATTTTTAAACAGTTTCATGTATTAACCAATGAGAATTAAGGATGAATATTGTTTGATGATTTTATGAATAGAAAATGATGATGAATGACCTTACATGTAGGTTGTTTAATTAGATTATTATTCTAGTTACCATTATTGTTATTATTACTATTATTATTATTATTATTATTAATATTGATGAAATACGATGTCAACAACGATGATTGCTGTAGTTACTAAATCGTATTGATGATTTTAGTGTCTATGTAAGATAAAATTGTTCTCCGAAAATTGAATACTTAAGTAAAGTTAGATAGTAAACTAGTAGTATTAGTATTAGTAGTAGTAGCCATTAGCTGAATGGACCTATATCTCAGTGTTGAAATTTTCATCATGATTTGAATTAAGTAGAGTTCGCCCCACAAACATCCAACTTTGCTAAAATACTTAAGAATACCAGACAGTTTTTAGGGTCTCAACTCAGAATGTACAAATGATCATTAATATTAATGGAAAGATACAAAAATTGGTTAATTCAAATTGAGTAGTGTTACATGAAATGATATTTGAAAATATGATGAAATAAAGCAAAATATTCATGACATTACTTAAGTTGTTCTACAAATATGATGTCGGTGAACTACAGAAGGAATGCACAATTACACTTTATTTTTAGATATTCTGTATGAAAATATATCTTCTGACACAGTGGGACAATGATAAATGAACGAGAGTCTCTGGAAACTGATTTTATTTACAAGGGATTATATATATATATATATATATATATATATATATATATATATATATATATATATATATATATATATATATATATATATATTTATATATATATATATATATATATACGCATAAATGAGTGCACATGCAATCAATTCGGTTCATTCAAATAAAACTTTCTCACTCTCTGTTTTTTTTCTCAAGTAGCTGGGCTGATCTATAGGCAGTGTGTATCAGTATCAACTCTCTGACACCACATATCACATCTTCACAAGTAAACTGCAGACAAAATGATTTTTATTTAAAATTTGGATATAATTCAATGTGAAATAGTGATCATGATCAAACTTTGTAGTATTTTCAAAGTTTTCTGGGTTTTCAAAGAAAATTAGATGATGAACTTTATTTAAATCATTATTTAGATAGACCTATTTATTGTGATAATCTAAGTATTAATTTTTCATATTGCGTTTTCTGAAGTAAGAATTCAGTGAACTGTTCATGATATTTAACAAGTTGATACCTTTTATTTCCATTTTTATTTAGATTACATACTCAGTATTTTAACCAAGTCAAAACTGTGAAATAATATCATTAGTGTTAATGAATAGGTTTCACATAATCCTACACATTGACTGAATTTGAAAGTTTGTACTGTTTTGAGCCAATTAAGTCGTCGAATAACCATGAACTCTCTTTGAAACCTGATGAAATTGTGAGTATACTCTGTTGAGGAACTCTATACAAGGATTTTCCTTTCATTAGTATCTTATAGATGAGAGAAATCGATGACGAATACCACATGTAAAAGTATAATTATTTGATAATCTCTATCTTACCATGCAATAATTATTTCACTCACAAATTTGTAGAATAAGATGAAGTTTTTACATAGTTTTTCATCAACTTCAAAAAACATGTTAAATTTACAATGAATAATAGAGTATGAGAAAGAAAAAAAGATGATTGACACAATTTAACAAACTCAATTTCTTAAACGAGATAGGAAATCATGAGAATAAACTAAATATACAATAATGAATGAATATAAAATAAATCTTGGAGTTGAAACATGTGCATACACATAAATATACACTTAAGCATAAAATCTTACATTTTCTAAGGTAGAGTACATAGGGTCATAATTAACATTACTTGTTATAAATATAAGTGATCACTTAATAGTAGCATAAAATTAACTCTCAATATGAGAGAGTATGAATTAAGTCACTTGGTGAAAAACGATGATCTTGTTTCAAAATAATAATAATAATGATAATAATTAGCTTGGGTGTGAAGATTATTGAATTTCATTGAAACCAATGTTTGATCTGATAATAACAATTATTAATATTTCATTAAAACTATGAACTGATCTAAGTTAGACAACCATTGAAAACGTGGAAGGATTAGACGTCCATTTTATTATAGTATGGAACTCCTCAGGCATCGACATCGACAACTTCGTGCTTCAGAAACCGAGCCCAGGACCATAGGTCTATATGAGAACGCTTAACTTCCAGATCAGTAAGCTGGTTTCCGCCGGTGTTAATGTATAATGTTAATCAATCCTACTAGGTTGAAGCTATCACGACTTCACTTAATCTGCGAACGAGAACAAAGACTCAGTGACCTAAGACCAGTAAGCTAGCTATTTGATACGTCCCAGCCCCGCTAACTAGAGGGAGAAGTTCAAGCTTGGAATGGGGAAGTATATTCAGCAAACAGCCAGAAACGAGCGATAACAACAAACACAATTCAAAACGTATATATACAGTACAAAACCGTCCTTGGGGAGAATTACCAAATAGCCTAATAAAAGATGCAACCGACCAATAGCAGTTAAGATATTTCCCAGTGGGAAATACGACATAAAGGTGACAAGAGCGTTTTTGGCGCGAAAACAAAGAAATTCAAATTTTCTGAATAAAATTGCAAAATTAGGTCCTTTCCCAAGTGAGTTCTGGGGATCTAACGTCCCCAACAAATCCACAACATCGCGATATCATATTTCATTGTTTTCAGTGGGTAACTGCTTCATACCCAGAACGGTTAAATTCCACTAGTCACGGCTTTTCACTAGACCTCTGATACCGAAGATACCGACTTCGATTTCCGAGTCTATGATCGTAGATGTGCACTACTGAGAAGTCCGATACTATGACAAAAGGGAAATCGAGAGCTTTCAGGTTTCCAGTGGTTGTCTAAATTGGATCGGTTCATGAGTATAATGAGCTTGAGCTTATACCTGTTACTCCCAATGGAGCATAGGCCACCGACCAGCATTCTCCATCCCACTCTGCCCTGGGCCTTTCTTTCTAGTTCTATCCAGTTGTTATTCATGCTTCTCATATCTGTCTCAATTTCTCGATGTAATATGTTCTTTCGTCTTCCTCTCCTCCTTTGACCTTGAGATTCCATGTGAGGGCTTGTCTTGTGACACAGTTGGGTGCTTTCCTCAATGTGTGTCTTATCCACTTCCAGCGCTTCTTCCTGATTTCTTCCTCCGCTGGGATCTGGTTTGTTCTCTCCCACAGTTGGTTGTTGCTAATAGTGTCCGGCCAACGGATCCGAAGTATTTTGCGTAGACAACTGTTAATAAACACTTGAATCTTCTGGATGATGGCTTTCGTAATTCTCCAGGTTTCCACCCCATACAATAGAATTGCCTTGAAATTTGTATTGAAAATCCTGACCTTGGTGTTGGTCGAAAGTTGTTTTGAGTTGCAGATGTTCTTCAGTGGTAGATATGCTGCTCTTGCCTTGCCGATCCGCGCATTCATATCTGCATCAGATCTACCATGTTCATCAATGACGCTGCCCAAATATGTAGAGGTTTGTATATCTTACAAATCTTCTCCGTCAATTGTGACTGGATTGGTGCATGTTGTGTTGCATAGGAGAATCTTGCTTTTCCCTTTGTGTATATTGAAACCTAATGCTGTTGAGCTGCTGCTACACACTGTTCGTCTTCTCTGCATTGTTGAGCGATTGCTATAGAAGGGCCAGATCATCTGCTAAGTCTAGATCGTCCATGCTCCTAGATGTCCACTGTATTCCGTGCTTCCCCAGATGTTGACGTCTTCATGATCCAGTCGATCACCAGGAGAAAGAGAAAGGGTGAGAGTAAGCAACCTTGCCTGACACCGGTCTTCACTTCGAACAGTTGTCAACTGTCCTCCATGCACGATTTTGCAGTTTAATCCTCATATGAATTTTGTATGATATTGACTATCTTCTGAGTTACGCCGTAGTATCGAAGAAGCTTCCATAGTGTTTTCTGTTCACGCTGTCAAATGCTTCTTGTGGTCAATGAAGTTGATGTGAGATGAATTCCATTCAATTGATTGTTCACAATGATCCATAGAGTTGCGATTGGTCTGTACACGATCTATCCTTACGGAATCCTGCCTGTTGATCACGAAGTTGGGCGTCTACGGAGTTCTTCATCTTGTTAACAGTACCCTGTTGAAAGGAAATTCTTGTGTACGTTGTCAGGATCAGGTGAATTGCTCAGTTTCCACCTCCCCACTTCCAACAGTGACCCCTGTATGATACAAAGAAACCCTTAACTTTCGTTGGCGTTCAGTGATTTGTTCAAATATTCTTGTCACTTGGCTGCTTACTCAACCGAAATAACTTCAGGATGTATAGGGAGCGGGTAGTCGATAGGTACATAAATACTGTGTCAGATAATCACAGCCACCAAAATAAAAGTTTAAAATTTCAGTGAATTCAAGCTTTCCACTTTAGTGTCGGTAGTATGAACTCAAGATATTAGTGTTTGTCTTTGAATCTAGTTGATTGACGACGACAGGTACATGATACTAATGAAATACATATTCCATATTTAATTTCGTACCCAGTGTGTCGAGTACTTTCATCAAGATGACGTTAAAAAAAATACATTGAATTCGAGTCCCGCTAAAAATAGGTAAGTTCCAGCAACCTAGAGAT